TTATTAGGGCAATTTGGAGCACATGATGTCTGGATGTCAGAAATGGAAGGCGGAAGGCACCAAGGACAGCATTCACTTCCCTCACAATGCTGCTGAGAACTGTCCCTGCCCACCATACCCAAACGAGTAGGGCAGCATGACACGGAGGCATGAGCACAAACCCTGCTCTACTACTCTCCAGCTGTGTGACTCTGAGTAGGTCACTTAACCTCTCTCAGCCTTCTGTGTGAATTGGATATAAATACTGTCTTTTCTACATACCTCACAGGCTTGCTGCCTGGGTCAAAGAGATAATTAAAAAATATGAAAGCACCTTGAAAACCATAAGGGATTATTCCAAGCTTTACATATTACAGAAGCCAACTCTTCTTGAATAAAGTAAGGAAACACTTTGTTCTGCTCACCATCCTCCCTCTCCTTCTCCAGGTTGTTCACATTCTCTTCAATATGACACCCTGGCCTTCTCACCACAGCCCCTGATGATAGTACCTTCTTCCTTCTCTTTACTTAAGGGCCAAGTGAGCAGCCTGATCCTGGGTAGAAACCTGAATTCGCATCAACAAAAGGCTGGCAATGCCTCTCTCCTCCCGGGTTGAGAGCTATGCCACCTTTCTGGTTTGCTCAATGGCTAGTTGGTTAGAGCGCCCTCGTGTGTCTCCACACGGTAATACTTGAGGTCTTTTCGAGGACGTGACATTCTTTTCATCGCAGTATCAATAAAAAGCGTAACGGAAATTTTTTTCTCGTCACACTTCAGGGCCCGTGCTTCACACCTGGGCTCCAGGTTAAGCCGTTGCAGCCCGAGTCTTAGGCAGGTTTCCTGCTTGCACTCAGGCCTAAAGATTTCTTTCTGCCCCCCACCCCCCCTTTCTCCTCAATTCTTTTTTTTTTTTTTGGTGAGGAAGATCAGCCCTGAGTTAACATCCATGCTAATCCTCCTCTTTTTGCTGAGGAAGACCGGCTCTGAGCTAACATCTATTGCCAATCCTCCTCCTTTTTTTTCCCCCAAAGCCCCAGTAGATAGTTGTATGTCATAGTTGCACCTCCTTCTAGTTGCTGTATGCGGGATGTGGCCTCAGCATGGCCGGAGAAGCAGTGTGTCGGTGCATCGGTGGGTCGGTGCGCACCCGGGATCCGAACCCCGGCCGCCGTTAGCGGAGCGCGCACACTTAACCGCTAAGCCACGGGGTCAGCCCTCCTCAGTCGTTTTGAACAACCCTGGTCTCACTGGTCACAGATGTCAACTTGGTCTTACCACCTTCTATTGTTCCAAGCTCCCAAAGTAAGATCATGACTTTTTTTTCTAATGAGTACGTCATACTTTACCGAAAGACTGGGGGAAAAGGAATTCCAAAGTTCTAGGGAAGAATTTTTAAATTCTTTTTACTAAATATGACTTGTTCTATAGTCTAAGGTAAAGGTATTCAGAATGTTAAATCTTTCACAGGAGTCTCCTCAAGTAAAGCCCTGCCACTTGAAAGGGGAAAACGACAACCAGAGACAGTGACATCTGAGTGTGAGTGCGCACACATGCACACTCAAACATACACTCTTGCACACACTTTACACACTCTCACAGCCACACTCTCTTTTGCTCAGTGGCAAAGGGGCTTTCTTTCTCATCGAGAATCATATGATGATATCAGCACAGGTCTTTGGAAGAAAGAAAACTTTTTATATCTAGAACCTCAAGAATATTTCCTGTTCTCTCGACATCAGCAAGGGTTATGGAAGCCTGGGGAACTTTAGTTCCCATATTCCACACATTTCCCTCTTGCCTGTTTCGCATCCATGGATTTTTCTGAATCCATAAGCCCCATTGGCAAACTCCATTGTAAACCAAAGATACATGTGCTTTTGGCTTCACCCCAGGAGCATGTTCCTGAAAAGCTGCATGTAAATTAAATTTTTGTAGATCAATTATGATTCCCTACTGACTTCCAATAAGATTTCCGAGCTGTGCTCTCTCTTCATCGAGACTGATTTTCAGTGTATGCCTAACACTTCAGCTTTAAGTTTCTCTGCCTCTTGCCATCCTCTGACAGTTAGTCAAACCTCATCTGGAAAATGAAGAAACTGGACCAAGGAAACATTAAGATCTCTTCTAGTTTGAACAGTCCAGGACCTGTAAACAAACCCAGAAATACATTAGAGAGGCTGCTATGTGGAAAAGACACCAGGTATCACCATTTAAAATGCAAATACTCCCCTAACACCCAACTTTTGGGGAGGCAACCTCCAAGGACTTGAGGGGTTTTCACCCCATTCCTTTGGAGGGGGAGCAGCAGCCTCAGGTGGCTGGCATCTTCGTTTTAGGAGGGTTGGTACTGTCCCTTCTGCTTTTCCCGTCTCTGGTATCAAATTTTAGAGACCCTTTCTACTGAAATAGAGATGGGTGCTGCAGCTCTGGGGAACCGTGTATGCAGCTGGTGAGCTAAGGTAGAAAGCACTTGCTAAGTAAAGATGAAAAGAGTTGCTGGGAGGCACCGTGGCTTTGGTCTCTGGCAACGGTTAAGCAAGGGCACGTGTGTCACGGGTCTGTGACGCTGGTCAGGCGACTGCTTTTGCTGTCTGAACTGGAACCAGAGATATTATTATTCGTGCTGATAGGGAAGAGAATTGCCTGCTTAGTAAAGGCGAGGTAAATTAATAGTCCAAGCATTCTTCCATGCTGGCATTTTGATTAAAAAAAATATTGCTGCAGCTGTTTGCATATTCTGGAAGTGTGTATGCATGTGTGTGGTTTGGTGTTTACAGATTTGGGGTTGCGGAGGGGAGTTTCCAGAGCAACGGAAGTAGCTGCTTGTCAGTCAGGGTTCATTTTGAAAATGAAAGCCTGAAAGCTTGGGGCCCACTCTGGGCTTGGGCCTGGTCTCTGAGGATCCAGCAAAGGCCACGAGGTGGCTTTGGCTAGTTAGCTCGGTGAAGCAACCACTTGATCACTTTTTTTTTTTTGATGAATTGACCAAATCTATGAGTTGCTTTCAGTGTCCTGCAGATTCAGCCTGAGGCAGGGATGTGGGAGTGGGCATGGAAGGTTCTGGCTGCAGATGCACCCCCCACCCCCACAACACACGCATACAATGCTGCCCCCCCACCCCCAGCCACATATACATACAATCACATTTTCCCAGGCTGCCAAAACAGAACAAGGTAACAAATATTTCTCTCACACCTGCTAGGTGCACAAAGATAGTATAACAGTCATCAAAGAGTTTAGAGTTTAATTGGCATGTCAGAGCAAGGGGAGAGAAATACAACAGTAGGCAGTCTGTGCTGGGCACCAAAGGAGAGGTCTAGACTGTTAGGGGAGGGAGAGGGGTCACTCTGGGCTGCAGTGATTGGAGGAGGCTGACTAGAGAAGGTGGAAACTGAGGCCAACCTTAAACGGCAGGGAGAACTTCACCAGACAGAAGCTGTGAACAAGGACATTCTAGATAGAGGAGGGCAAGTCCAAGACATGCTCAGGTTAGGACGGGTGCATCCCTCTGGCTGAAATTTGGGGCTTGTGTGAGCGATTTGCAGTTGATAACCCTGGCTTGAATACAATCCTTCTGTGGCAGAACAAAAGCTATGGGATCACACAGAACTGCTTTACCACTTCCTGCTGAGTGACCTGGGGCAAGTGGCCTAACCTCTCTGCAAACTGGAGATAATGATACTTAGCTTTTGAGGTCACTAGGATGATTAAGAGAGTTAACGGATATAAAGCATCTAGCACAGTGTCTGGCATATATCATAAATGGATTACAAATGCATAGGCCGTCATGAAGGAAAGCTCAAGATATTTAGGGTTGATCCCAAATATTTGGGGGCCATGGAGGACAAGCGTCTGATACCTTCCATCACTGTTAGGCCCAGTGGAGTGGGCTGCCTTGGCCTGAGCCTTCATTCCCTCTGGCCTAGATTGTTGGAACAGTCTCCTGGCTTCCTGCCTATGCCTCTCCCAGAATCATCTTCCTAAACACCAGCTTAATCATGGCTGTGTCCTTCTCTGGCTCAAGAGCCTTCTATGGCTCCCTGTTGCTCACTGACTGAACTCCCTAACATGGTGGGGTGGGGGAGGGCAGGAGGCAAGAACTACCATTTATTGAGGGAAGGAAAGCACAAAGAGGAGGCTACTGTTAGCGGTAGAAAGGTAAAATATCCTCCTCTTTAAAAAGCCCCGAAGCTCTGAATTCGCAGAAACCAGCAGGTCCCTCAGGGAGAGCGGGGACGCCTCTCTGAAGAGGGGAGGGCGTTCCCGTGGCCGCTGACTCAGATTCACCTGTACCTGCTTCTTCGAGGCAACCTGGGAGAGGTCAAAGAGGAGAGGAGAAGAGGGCGGGGACGCGGAGCAGGGAGCCGTGGGAAGCAGGGGAATGCCCCTTCTCGGTACCCTGGAATGGCTTCTGCCTGGACCCTGGTCTCGGGTTTCTCTGCAGGAACCCCGGGCAACTCCGGGCACTGCGGGGAGGGTCAAGGCCACACAAAGGGCAGGGCAAGCGAGCCCGAGTCACATGCGGCAGCCAGGCCGTCTCGGTGAATGAGAGGCGCGGGACAAGGGCGGCTTGGGGACAAAGTACAGGGAGACTCCGGAGGAGATAAGAGGGAAGGGCGAAGGAAGGGGGCGGGGAGCGAGGGCCCTGGAGCTCAAGGCTCGCGCTCCCGGAGCCTTGGCTGGCAGCCGAGCTCTGCCCACAGGAGAGGGGGCGCCCTAGAGCCTCTTCACCCAGCAGCGGCTGGGATGCCGAGAAGCAGGCGGCCGGGCCGCTGGGCTGCTCCGGGCGGCGCTCGGGGCCCGCTCGCAGCCCGCCCCCGCCCCACTTGCCCGCGCCGGGAGGGAGGCGGGGCTGCCCGGCTCACCTGGCCATTTGGGGCGGGGCCGCCCGCGACCTAAGGGGGCCGAGGTGGTGGCGGTACCCGCGGTGCGGGAGAGGGGCTTGCCCTGGGGACTTGGCTCTCCACGGCCCCCACCCCTCCACGCCCCCCCACCTCCCGCGCCGGGGCCCTCCCTTGGCTCGCTCGCTCTCTCCTCCCCTCCTTTGCTCCCTCCCTCCAAGCCCCATTGCTCGAGCCGCTTCCTTCCCCAACGGCAGCGCCAGTTCCTCTCCCGGTGGGGCCCGGGAAGGGCAGCGAACGCTCGACACTGGAACCGCCGCGGCGGCAGCTGCGGGACCATGGCCGAGCCCCGAGAGGCCGCGAACCCGGCGCCCAAGGCCTCCCTGGCACCGACCGCGCTGAGCCTGCGGAGCGCCCCGCAGCCCCGCCCCTCGAGAGCGGTCACCGGCAGCCTGGGCAGGTACCGGGGCAACGCCGCCGCCGCCTCCCGGGAGCCCCTCTCCCACGGCTCGGGCTCGGGGCGCCGGCGGGGAGCGCTGCGGGAGCTACTGGGGCTGCAGGGGGCGGCTCCCGCCGGGTGGCTGTCGGAAGAGCGTGCCGAAGAGCAGGCCCCCGGCGGCTCGAGCGGACCGGGCGGCAGCGGGCTGTGCCTGGAGCCCCGGGAGCACGCGTGGATACTGGCGGCCGCCGAGGGCCGCCTTGAGGCGCTGCAGGAGCTGCTGGAAGCCGAGCCGGGACTGCTGCTGCGGGGCGACCCCATCACGGGCTACACGGTGCTGCACTGGCTGGCCAAGCACGGGCGCCACGAGGAGCTCATCCTGGTGCACGACTTCGCCCAGCGCCAGGGGCTGCGGCTCGACGTGAGCGCCCCGGGGAGCGGCGGCCTCACGCCCCTGCACCTGGCAGCCCTGCAGGGCCACGACATGGTCATCAAGGTGCTGGTGGGCGCCTTGGGGGCTGACCCCACGCGCCGCGACCACAGCGGCCACCGGGCCTGTCACTACCTGCGGTCCGACGCGCCCCAGAGCCTGCGGGAGCTGTCAGGGGCCGAGGACTGGGAGACGGCGGGCGCCAGCGAGCGGATCAACTCCAACAACAACAGCAGTGGCGGCGCCGCGTGGACGCTGCGACGGACCCCGAGCGCGGTGGGCGCGACGGCCGTGGACACAACGGCGAGACCGGCGGCATCGCCCGGCAAGGAGAAGGACTCCACCGGCAGCCGGGTGGCGCAAATTCATGGCCTTCTCCGCCATATGTTCCCCTTCTTCCAGGATCGTTGAGGATGATGGAGACTGGAGAGCGCGAAGGGACTGCGACGCGGCGGCGAGGCCTCGGTCCTGGGTTGTCCCGGGTCCCACCGAAGGGGCGGCGCCTCAGACACAACTCCGACCACAGCCGAGTGCGCTGGGCCTGCAAGCAGCAGACCACCTCGGGGTCTGTCTCAGGTACCTGTCCCAGGTCTCTTGCCGCCACTGGCCAGGAGACCCGGGGACCAAGGCACCCCTAACCGTGAGAGAACAAAGACAAAGCTGACCTGGCGCCAAATCCCAAAGCTACAGGACTAAGGAATTAGGAGCAGGAGCGTGGTCCTGCTTGGTAGAGGGAAAGTTAAGCTTCCAGTAGCCGTTTCTCGGCAGGCGGAAGCTCTGGGTTTATTAGGAAACATTTGCTAGAAGAGTGAGTTAAGACTGTAACCCACTGATGTAGAGGAAGCGCCTGACTGCAGGCTTGACTCGGCTGTTAACGGGTCACTTTGTGCGGGCAGAATCAGCCCCTGGCAACCTGCTCTTGAGACGAGCAGGCCTTACCCGTACTTTTTCTAATGTATCACGGATGACTTCTTAAGCATATTAAAGTGGAATGCGTTCCTTTTACATGACAAAGCTGTCCTTTGAGTGACTTTTTATTTTTCATTAACCATGGAGAGGGAAGCTTCCTACGTTTGCAGAGAAGAGGTCACCAACCCGTGGCCACGAGCTAGTGATCCAGGGCAGGCTCTGGACCTCATCCTCAGAGCCAGTGGCTGAGCTGTGTACTGAAGGAGCTGCTTTCACCTTGGCTCTGAGTAGAGACACACAGTTTACCTGTCTCCCAGGCTCTTTGGCATCTAGGTCTGGCCTCCAGCACAAGTCTCATCCTGGAGGAGTTGTCTGTAGGGGCAGAGGAGAGGTAAAAGGGACAAGTCTCCAAATGTACGTTTCTGATATTTTGTGGTAAGTCATGTAACTTACCTTGACTTCTGCCCTCCCATGAGACACACCCACTGGCGCTTTTTTCCAAGATAAGGCTTTAACCACCAGCATCATTTTTTTTTAATATTTTTTTTATAATTTCATTTATTTTTTCCCCAAAGCCCCAGTCGATAGTTATATGTCATAGTTGCACATCCTTCTAGTTGCTGTACGTGGGACACGGCCTCAGCATGGCCGGAGAAGCGGTGCGTCGGTGCGCGCCCGGGATCCGAACCCTGGGCCGCCAGCAGCAGAGCGCGCGCACTTAACCGCTAAGCCACGGGGCCGGCCCCACCAGCGTCATTTTTAAAGTTACATTTAATATATAAGTTGTAGTTTGGAAAATTGCTCCCATTCAGAAATAGTATGAATTGAGTAGAATACAGGAGGGTTGACTAGAGCTGAAAGGTGGGAAAAGCAGCTGGTGGCTAGAGATCCATGCTGCCCTAGAGAACAGTGCATTTTAAGAATAGCACTGTATCCCTGGAGGCTTGGGTAGCCCTTGCAATGGACTGTTGTGTCCCCAGCCCCCCCATCCCAGTTCCTGAACACCAGGGAGAAACTGAGTCACCACAGAACATAGAAAGCCCAGAAATGCCACCCCGAGCCCACCCATCCAGGTTTCCATCTCTGCCTGGTGGGCCTGTTTGCCCTCTTTATGACCTGCTCTGTGCTCAAAACGTTCCCACCTTCCCTTAAATAACCCATTCGATTCTTCTCATATATGAAATGATCCAAACCGCTCCTACTGATGTTTTCAGCCTGCCGCATGTCACTAGGAACTACACCTTAAACATATTTACACAGTGTAACGTAGCATTTCCTTTTTCTTCTAAATGAACTTCCGTGATGCTCAAAGCGGGGAAGGTGAACAGTTCCTGGCTTCTGGCATTTGGCATTGGCATCTGGCATAACCCCTCTCAACCCTGTGTGCCCATTTTATAGATGCAAATTGGCTAACTGATGCAGAACTGTGGTTTCTGCTCCACAACCTCCCCCTTGATAGCTGCCAAGGTGGGTTGGGCTTGGTGAAGGCTGGCAGGGCAGGGCCTTCCTGCCACATGGCTGAGTCTGTGGCCTCCTGGCTTGGAGGGAAGATCGGCATGTGCCTTTGCCCAACATTCAAAGGACACTTAAAACAGTAGTCCCCTATTCATAGGAAAAGTTTGACCTAAGCATCTTAACTATTAGCAGATCTGGGGACCTGAGACAAGCATCCGCCCTGCTCTTTCCAAAGTGAAAACCAAGTCAGCTGGAAGGTTTGAAAGCAGCTTTCTATAGTTTTTCCTGTAGTCAGCTATTCTTCTGCACAGATTTTTCTCATCATGTGATATTGCCTAGCCTACCTCCTCCATGTAAAATTGAGGTTTGGCTGCAGGGGATAAACTCCCATGCTGAAAACTCTCCATGCCTAACATCAAGCCATTGGCATTTCTGGTATGCTTTTCGAGGCAAGAGTGGTATGCTTACCCCAAGAGAAAGAACAAACTCCCTGAGAAACTTCTTTCCAGGGGAGCAAAACGGTGTTAAGCAGTGATGCAAATCTGCATCCTAGTAGGACATGCGGACAAGAAAAGGAGACAGTCAGAAGCAGGGCTGTGACAGGTAAGCATGGGGGTTGTGGGGAGGGGGCGCTGCACGAAGGGCGGGGCCTGACCCGGGCCTGAAGGTGCAGAAAAGGCTTTCAGGGAGGAAGGTAATGTCTGATCTGAGGCTCGAGAGGTGAGTAGTTGGTCAGTGGAGAAGGGGGAAGGGCCTCCTGGCAGAGCCACTGGCAGACGTATGGGCAAATATAGCAAGTACCATGAAGCCTAAGTCAGCCGGTTTGGCAGGAAGGCAGACACTGGGGAGCAGTTAATGGCAAAGCTGGAGAAGTGGATGGGGGTCCAGAACACTAAGGGTCTCGTAGGTGGCGCTAAAAGAGGAACATAGATTTTAACCTAAAGGTAGCTGGGAGCCATAGGAGGTTTCTAAGCAGAGGAGTAACATGATGAGATTTTAGAAAAATCACTCTGTCAGTCACATGGAGGATGGATGTGCCTTGGGCGATAACTCAGGGAAAACACATCACACAAGCAAAGCGTTTCTGGAGAGACTCTTCAAGAAGAGTCATGCTTCGGCTGAGAAGTTCAAAGACCCCTGGGGAGGGCAGAGGCTTTCGGACTTCTTTTTTTTCGTGTCCATAGCCTTTGCTCTAATGAAGCTTACCTTGAAGCCCCATCTGTAAGACTGACAAAAGTGAAGCTGCTCAGGTTGAAGCTGGGTTGGGACCTCCCCTCCCCACCCCCTGCCTCTAAGACATACAGTCACACACAGTGGCCCCTGGAGCAAAATTCAAAACCACTGGTGTGCGTGGAAAGCCCTCAGCCTAACCCCGGGGTCGAATGCTGACTACCGATTAGTGACCTTCCGCCCATCACTCACCTCTCTGAGTTGCAGTTTCCTCATCAGAAAATGGGAACAATACAGTCTCCCTTGCACGGTTGTTCTGAGGATTCGAGATGGTATATATGCCACAGCTACACGCTGCAGGACATATAGGAAATAGGAAATCACAGTCGTCGTTTAGAAGAATTGAAAGGTGCTCAGCAGGCTCTTGTGGTGAAACGATTTTATCTGCTAGGGTAGTCCAGGAGGGATCTTGGGATTATCTGTATTATCCCATCTCCAAAATGTGTCTACATTGATTGGAAGTTATTTTCTGTCTGTGCCAGATGAGTGGCTGTTCCTCAAAAGAGATGTTGGTTCCTCTGCTGATGGTCTTCACAACCTACATGCTTTTACTTTACACATAATTGTAACAAGCTGGCTTGCCTTGTTCTCAGCCCGCAGAAGTAAAAGCAGCAACTTAATAAGTGCCCACCGAATATTGAATAGGTTAGATATTGTTTCCAGATAAAGTCATAAACTAGAGTCAGAGCTGAGTCTGAAATCCTCTGAAGAGAATAAAAGCCTACGAGTCCCTCATCTCCTAACCCTATTATCTATGGAAATGTCCCCCTCCCATCCTAGCCAACATACCCTACATTCCACACCCAGCCTCCGTGTCTTCCCTCTTTTCCATTCACGAAGGAGCATGCCTGTCTCCTTTCAAGATGTAATTCATGCTCTCAATCCCCCTGCTCCTCCTGGGGCTTAATTCTGCCGGTTGTCCCTCTCCTGGATCTTCAAGCTCACCCTCAGTTTAGTTCAGTGCAATAAACATGTATTGAGTACCTACTAGGAGCCAGGCTCTTTGAGTGACAAACAGTCTCAAGTCTCTCCCAGCCTTCTGGCCCAATCTTGTGACTCTCCCTCTTCTCTTTACAGCCAAGCCTCTCCAAAAGGAGGTCTCCTCCCTTGAGTGTCTCCATTTCCTCACCTCTTAATCACTCTTCAACTCCCTGAATTCTGGTTTCTGCCTCCATCATCCCAGCACAATTGCTTCCAGGAAGGTCTCCCCTGGAAACCTCCCATCTGCCAAATGCAAGTCCTCATCTTAGTTCACTTCTTGGCTGCCCTGGCCAATGTTGGCTATTTCCTCCTCCTTGAAACTCTCTTCTCTAGTCTTCCATGACCTCCTATGGCTTTAATTGCTGGTGTTTACCAGGTGGAAGTCCCAGAAACTTTTCTCTTCAGTCTACATTCTCTCCCTAAGTCATTTCATCCCTTCCCCACTCACCCTCCCTCACTCTGTTCCAACCACATAGTCCTCCCTGTTGTTCTTTGAAAGAGCCATGTTCTTCTGAACTCTGGGATTCCTAACGCTGTTCCCTCTCCAGAAACACTCTTCCCTCTATCCCTTGTCCCCTTCACCTGGCCCACTCACACTCATCCTTCAGATGTCAGTTTAAATGTCACCTCATTAGGGAAGTCTTCCCTGCCCCAGGCTAGGTTAGCACTTCTCCCATTCTGTTCCCTTTCATAGTCCTTATCACACTGAGAAGTTATTCATGCAGTTATTAGATTAATATCTCCCCTACCCCAACTAGACTTAAATTCCATGAGGGTAAGGCAGGGTACCTGAGGGTTACTGTGAAATATTCAATAAGATTACCTTTGGACCTTGTTATGAAAAGAAGTTAATCTTGTCAATTTGCTGTTTTCCTGTTTAATCTGAGGGATAATTCAAGGGTCACAAGGATTTATCAGCTTGTTTTACAGAAGAAGGAGAATACCTTCAAGGATCATCAGATAACCAGCCCCCAGCTGCTGTTGGTGTCCAGAAATCAGATTGCCCAGGGGCTTATCAGGAGTGAAAGAAACACGGATGACCCCTTTGTTTCTCTGAAACTCTTCCTGCCACATCCCTTAGCTCTATAACCCACCCTGCCTTCTTCTCTTGTTAAGGCAGATTTGAGAGAACTCATGCTCCTGCCTTCTGTCTTGGCCAATTCAAATAAACCTTTCTCCATCTCCAAGCACCAATGTCTCAGTGTTTGGCTTGCTGTGCATTGGGCATGGGAACTTGAGATTAGGAGGCTCAGTATCAAGGGCAGGGACCAAATCTGTCTATTGATCACAGTATCCATAGTTCCTGGTAGATGGAAGGTGCTCAATAAATAGGTATTGATTGGCAATGGAATCATAGATTTGACCACAAAAGCACAAGAAACAAAAGAAGAAATACATAAATTGGACTTTAGCAAAATTAAAAACTTCTGAGCCT